GTCGCTACATAAAGTGTCACCTGTCGACTGTCATACGTTCTACACTTTTAGAACGCAAAATCAAAAAGAGGCCTTGTTTGAATCTTCACTTACCGTGACATACCAGGATGCTGCGTACCGTATAACTTGATCTAAAAGGCATAGCGCGGCAAGTGAGAATACAAGGATGCACAATGGATGCCTATGATTCGTAGTACCATTCCGCATCGAACGTTAGAGTCAATTTTCTATCTTCCCCGTCTGGACGTCCCGAATTTGTGATTTTGCGCCGAGGTACTTGACACTAGATCCGTTGGAAGGACCATCTGTGAACGTCCTCTTGCTTGACCCGTGGTTCGCCATGTAGATACCTCTCCATTCCAAATGGTTTCTGTGCCGCAAATTGAATCGTATCCGCTGAATTGTTGGTCGTACGTCATACCTAGTTCACCATTGCTCGATGTTCTCGAAACAAGAATTTGTGAGGCCCATCGTGGATGGATATCAGTGTTTCCAAAATAAGTTCTCTGCTAGTATATCGGTTAGTACACGCGCCTGTCATCCCTTGCGTTTGTCGCATTGATTGCAAACGCGCGAAAGCTGGGTTCGACTCCCAGGCAGAGAGAGATATCATGTCAATCCTTTTTACATTTTTTTTTCAACACCCCTCCCCCTTATCCTGTCAAGTTTGAGTCCTGATCTGACATGACATTTTCCTTCGTGGTGGTTTGACCCGCATGGATGGAGGGCAATCCATCCTACAGTCAATAATCTATTTATTGTGACTTTGACGAGGCTGTTGCTCGTTTTCGGAGTATAGTTGATGTTGCACCGACTAACTGGTATTAACTCTGAGGCGTGGCATAGCATACCTACTTTGATTCGTCATATCACAAGGGCCGCCTTTGGTCTCGAGGACTTGTCTTTGAGTACACCGTTGAGTCCGATGACACTGCGCAACGTCTTGCCGCCGAGCCTTGCGAAATCGGCTTGCGGACATTCAGAGTTGGATAACCGAAAACAGCTTCGGACAATGCTTGTATGGATCAGGTGGAAGGCGTGTGATCTCAGCGGAAGTATGTATATACCGCTTGAGGATGCCCGAATTCAATTCGAATTGGATTATATCACATCGTTTTCGTGTCACGACAACCCGTGCTCGTGGGTCGTGTCCTGTTATGTCGCTTTCATCGGATTGCATCTGGAAAATCGATCTGTGTACAGTTAGAGCAGCTGCTGCCAGAAAAGCCTGATCGAGACAAGATCAAGTGATTCGAGTCACGGGAGGATCGTAATCATGACACTAAGACTGGGTCCAACAAACAATTCTCTGCTAGTATATCGGTTAGTACACGCGCCTGTCAATGGTAGAACATTTGATGTGACGCGCGAAAGCTGGGTTCGACTCCCAGGCAGAGAGATGGCTTGATTTTCAGGACATGCTCTTTTTTTCACCAACCCTCGCATATATTAGTAAGACTCCTCATCCTGTTCTTTGAACTTACTGATCTGACATTTTCCTCGGTGATTTGACCCGGAGGGCAATCCGCCCCACAGTCGATCATCTATTTATCTATTGTGACTTTAACGAAACTTTTGCCCGTTTTCAGAGGATGGTATATACGGGTCTGTAACGATGTTGCGCCTGCTGGCTGGTGATTAACTATGAGGCGCGGCATGGTAGGAAGTTCTGCAGCCTCGCAGCCAAACACGGCCACACGGCGCGTGAATCGACGCATCTGCT